TGGAAAAAAAGAAAGGAGAACATCTGGAAACAAGCTAAAACGCTTAAAGGAATATTTAAAAGACAAGATGGGGAAACAGACACGGTCTAGTAATTCTGTCACTTGCGTGAAATGAGAAATAATACCGATGTAGATATAAACCCTGAAACCATCTCAAATTCAGGCAAAATACTCTGACACCCAGCTGCAGAGGAAAGCATGCTAAGACTGTCTTCCTTGAACCTTAGAGGAAACCTCATAAAGCCATCCTTCTTTGGTTCTTCTTCTTTTGCCAAATAAAATAAAGAAAAAGAAGCTAAAAAGTACAGAAAATCTTCAATAATACAAGATAAGAATACAGATCTCCTCAGTTGCTAGCCATTTCCTACATGATAACAAAGCCAATTAAGTTTCCCACAGAAAAAGTCATCAATAAAAGACAAGACCCTGAGAGACAAGAATTTTCTCACTAGATTACTCTAAATCTACATCGAGATACTTCTCAGAATCATTTTACCAAAACCGATCTTCATCAATCCATGATCAAAGACTTACTGAATCCAACAGCTTTAGTCAGGACCCACTATGCACATTTTTAATAATTTATGCCAAATTTCATTTAAAAGTAGATTTTAGGAATCTCAGAAAATAGACTTTAATCTCTCATACCTTAATACACTTTATTTTCCCCCAAATACACAAATTGCAGATCCATTCCCTGTTTGGAAGCACAAAAGGCACAGAAATCAAGTGCTAGCCTAGTTTATCTAGAGCATAACCTCCCTACCAAACACATTTTTTAAAAGAGGGGGTTGGGGAAGCAGTTGAACTGAAATTACAGCCTGTCATGACACCTCAATATCAAAAACTGAATACCTGGTTCCACAGGAGAGTATGGTTTTTATTCACAATCCGGTTACTAAGCAACTATAACAATGGCTGCACGAGCTTTCTAGAAGTTAGCACAGTTAAGGGGGGAAAAATCTAAGGAAAGAAAAACAGGGAAACTCCTTGCTTTGGGAATCTTTATCTCAGCATGAATTCAATGTAAAAACAAAAACAAACAGCAAAACCAAAAACAATCTAAACTTAAAACAAGCAGTTCCTTAACGGACAAGAAAAGCACATGCTACTATGTGTCATTCGCTTTAATTTCAGTTTTGGTTAATTTCAAAATTTACATTTAACTAGCGATAATGATTTCCTTACTGAGTTTCCTTTGTGGTCCCCTTCTTTCCTTCACCCTCCCTAGGGACTAATTTTTTTTCAAATTTCCTTACTGATTAAAAGAACATTTTAGACCTCTTAAATCCATTTCTTTGTTTACAGAAGCTATAAAAACGAGTTTACAATTGTTTCATGTTGCCTCAGCTTTGAACTGAGAACACTCTTGGACATCAAACTCTTCCTTTGAAGAGAACAGTGTCTCAAACAGAGCCAGACACTTTCCCAGCCACTCCCTGAAGTTTAGACAAGCAGAGCCTTGCAAATGTCAAATCTTTTTGAACATCAGACTATACAATGTAGCAAGCTCTACACCAATGTTTCTCCACTGGTGGGTTGGGTTTGAGGTAAGGAGCCTTACATACACGTTCCAAGGGAATTTCATAGACTAGACCTGCAAAGGACCAAAGAGCAGGTTACAAGGCAAGGAGACAATCTCACTGACTTTCCCTCCCATCTTTCCTTGCAGCTTTCAACATTTGCTGCAATGCTGAGAAAGCTCCAGAAGCTACATTGTCTAAATCTCAATCTCTCTCTCCCTCCGCGCCCCCCCTTCCTCTCCCCTTCTCCTTTCTCTCCTCTCCCCTCTTCCCTCGCCCCTCTCCCTCTCTCTCTCTGTTCCTAAAGGATGCTAGGCTAGTAAGTAGCCAAAACAAAAACATCAAGTTTTAGAATTATTTTTCTAAATCAAAGATGGCCAATCATTGTGTGGCTTTGTTCACAAGGTGCCTCTAGATTCTGACAAGCCTCTTTTTTAAGAAGAGAAATCTAGAGACAGGTAGAAATTTAAATACTTCTCAGCCAGGAAGCACAGGAAAATGACAAAGTCAATTCTGCTCTTAGATCCCGAAGATAAAGATGGTTTTCTGTCCCAAAAAATTCCCTGAGCAGCTTTTGGAGGAGGAGGCTGTTTGGGTCTGCTGTTTTCAGTTAAATTAAATTTAATTTCTTAAATTTGATTGTCATTTGCTTTTTTTAAGACATAAACAATGCAAAGCATAGTCTTTGTAATCACTACAAACCACAAAGCTCTGCTACTTGAAATAAAGCAAATGAAGAAAATTCTGTTTTCTGACACACAAATAATTATTACCTCTACTAGCAACAATAAAGAAAACTGAGCACATATATAACACATTTCACAATCAAATTGATTCAAAAACTAAATGGTTAGATTCAGGGTCTCCTCTGTCTACATCACCCTATGGCTACCAACTCAGATAATATGAACATTCTCAGATGGGAAACTTCTTAAAAAAATTTTTTCCCCAGTATCCTTTAATTGTTAAAATTCCTATAGTTGCTTACTGTAAAAGTCAAGGCTTTCTTCCATAGCTTATCATATTTCCAAAGACTTGAAAACTAATGGTCACTTATACGTGTAAGATTATTCACTGAAGCACTGTTTGAAACTACAAATAACTGAAATCAATAGAGAATTGGGAAATTATGGCACATTCACGAAAAGGAGTATTCTGCAGCTGGAAAAAAAATTAGAAAGCATTGATGTATGTTATAGAATAATCTCCAAGCTATGTTTTTTCACTAAAAAAAATGCAAAATAAAGAATACTATACATAGTAGGCTACTAATTCTGTTTTTTAAAAAAGGAAAAATATATACATAAATTTTCAGTTATATGTGCATACAACATTTTTAAAAGATAATAAGACCTGGTAGATGTTTTCCCTCTGAGGAGAAACACTGAGATACAGGAGTAGGACGGAAACTTTGCCTCATATACCCTTTTGAATTTTTTACCATGTGAATGTATTGCCTATTCAAAGAATATATTTTTAAATCCAAAGAAATCTAAGGTTACTGGCAAATTATAATACATACAGATGGCATGCTAATTCACTATCAGTAAAGCTTACGGTTTTCAGTTTAAATAGTGGTGATGGACATATACTAACGTGTGAACGATATCCCACATGAGCACAATTTTCTAACATGATCTTCTGGAATTAAAGATAGAATCTAACCCGCCCTAATTCTCCCTTACATAGCCAGAAACATTACCCTGGCCTCCTTGGCTGCTGACACTCTTACTTTTGAATATAAATTGTACAACTACACAATGCAAGTAGGTTTTATGTTTGTGAATTTTAAGGCATTTAAGAACTATTTAGATGGAAACAAATACCATTAACTGCACTGACAAAAAGTGACAGGCAAAACCCAGTTGGCTAGCTTAAAGTCAAGCAACAAGTGAGAAAAAAAAGGCACACATTAAAACTTAACTTTTTAAAAGCCTCCTCCAAACTACTCTTTTATGGGTATACATAGGATCCTTCTAAAGGGTGTGTGTGTGTGTGCGTGTGTGTGTGTGCGTGTGTGCGCGCACGCGTGCATGCGTAGATGCGCTTGTGCACATGGATGCAAAGAAAAACAGAAAATGCGTAAGTTTTTAGGCTGATCAAACCCTTAATTATTCAGAAATAGTTGGCCATCTACTAACTGTTAAAGCGTGTGCTAGATACAAAAATACAGGTTAACAAAAACAATACTGTGAAAGAGCAAGTAGGCCAGCTGAGATGAGGAAAGTGTCTAAGCAGGAAAGGTGACATCTGAGCTGCGCCTTGAAGGATGAAGAAGATGATGTCAGAAAGAGAAGGGGAAGGAACATTCCATGCAGACGTGGAGCACATGCCAGGGCTCTGGAATAGTGGACACGTTTATGGCAAGAGACAGGGTTCACAGCAGGAATGCATGTTGAGGGGTGGAGCTAGCGTGGGAAGGGCATATCTACTACACTGAAGGTTTGGACTCATAACTGAATACAAGGCAGAATATAGCAGAATATAAAGAAAAATCAAGGTTCCAAAAGACACAATGAGATGATGTGAGGGAACAAAATAAGATCTGTGAAGGAAGCTTCTAAGGCCAGAGATTATTTAACCTAACAGACTTCAAGCCCAGGAAGGCATCTTCCACAGACTGATAGTTACAGTTGTACTCCTTCTCCACCGGAGGCAGAAAAGAAAGATTAAGTACTCAGCTCAAATGATACTACAATAAAGGTGAGTAAAAAACACTGCGAGAACAAGTAACCCCACCAAGAAGGAGGCAGGAGCTGGGTGAGAGTTGGGAGAAGCAGGCAGAAGCCCAAATGATTTAAAAAGGGCAAAATTGAGGGCATATAGATCAAGACCATCCCTTGAAGCACAGAGTGGCATCTCCTTTTCAGGGAGTATTTTACAAGAAATGTTCACTTCCATGGGATGGATCGAATGTCCTGTTTGACCATCTCAGAATGGAGTAGGTCCTTTTAATCCCTTATGATGTCATTATCCTCAGTCTATGAGTGGAATAAATATGGTCATGACAAACAAATCCAAAGAACAAAACATTGTTTACTTAGAATAATCGGGGGAAGACATGTCTAAATCACAAAATACTTTTAAAGAAATCAGTGCTATTATTTTCTAACACATACACCAATGCCAAAGGCTGACCAAGTATTGCCAGTACAGTGTATAAACTTTACCACCGTGGAAATAGAATTTGCACTGCAATTGTGAATTATAAAATACTTAGCTATTTTCTTCATTAAAAGAGAGCAATAACAAATTTAAGTAAAGCCCCAAAACTTAAGGACAGCAGATGACCATAAATTCCAAAACTATAGTTTAAATTAGCATGTTGTCACCATATACGAAGTATCAACTGCACGACATTTTAAAGGAAAGAAAAACAAGCGGCAAGTAGGGTGAATATTGACCCTTAATGGAAAATCAGTGAATTATTTCCTAAAAACTTAATTGCTAACTGATCAAGCACGAAGGAAAGAGTACCTGGTGGATGGAATCAGGTTGAGTATCCCATTGAGAACATAGCTGAACTCAGCATGCTCCTGAGCAACCAGTGCCACCAGACCCTCACAGCAGGCTGTCCGAACCACGACGTTGTCACTGCAACACTTCTCCCACAGCAAGTTCAGTGCAGGCGTCTGAAATCAAACCAGTGATTAAAAGATACTTCTGAGGAGCAGCAACGCATGTAGAGCCCCAGCCGTTCATCAAAGTGTAATTCGTTCCCAGTAGGCTAGCTTTCCCGTACAAAGATGCTGCTGTTGTCACTGCACTAGTAGAATAAACTAAAGTCAGTTTTCTAAGAAAGATAACAGATGTGTTCTGATATATTAACTCTCTCTCTCTCTCATCTGGTATCTTCACCGCAAAATAAGGCTGGGTGCAGAGAGAGGTATGACCTGAGCGTGAGCAACTCAGCAAAACGAACAGGGCATCAAAATTCAGAGTTGGCACTAGCACAGTGCTCTAACCAAGCCATTTAACCAGCAGCCAACAACATCAGCGTATCAGTTACTCTATGTTGAACTCCAATCATACATATGCTTCAAACCCTAAATGGCAACTATATTTTCAGAAAATGTTCCTGCTCTCCTACCACCAACCTCTGTCACCTACACGCACCCCACCACCCCCTACAATGTCCCTGCCCCAATTTATTGAAGTCTTATGTGGGCCCAGAGGAAAGACAGAGGAGCAGGACAGGGGACCAGCAAGCTGCTGGTTCCACGGCTACCGAGAAAAGCTGAGAAAAACTGGTTTGCCCAAGAAAGCGACTGTGGCTTTTTTCCTCTCATGCCGTCAATCTGTCATCTTTGATAGAAAAGCACTGGGAGGGCACATAAATAAATATAAGTTCTTTAAATTGAAAAATCTTATAAAAGCAGAGGATCTAGCTTTCATAACTTTCTCAGGAACCCATGACCCCCATATCCCCCACAAAAAGGTTCACTACTAATGATAAACCTATATTTGGATATATTGTGGGTTAAGTCCACATGGTTTGGGGGATGTTTTTTGGTTTGAGTTTTTTCCTTAAAGAACACATAATGAAGCTATTTTTCCGTCCTCCTGACATAATTTATTAGGGAAATACGTAATTTGGAGAAAAAAATTAACATTCCCCAGCTCCCATGAATAACTAAAAGAATGACAATCCACATTGTATTGTGCCCACCTTCCCACGGTAGCTGGCTCTGAGATCCTTTGCAATCTTAGAGCTCACTAGAACAGAACAATACATTTAACAGTCACTGCAGGAAAAGAATATTTATATTCCATTTCTTTTATTCAGAAGGAAATTTTATTCACCTGTATGGACACAAAGAGTTCTAAATGTCATTACTCCATTACTAAGGCAGAAAAACAAAATAAATGAATAAATAAACTGTTGCCTCAGGTAATACTGTGAGCTCACAGAAGTAAGCATTCATTTATTAATAGAAGAGGAAACATTCAGTTACAGGAATTTGATATTCAATAAATCCTGACAGTTTAAGGAAAATCATTAAATCTTCTTAGAGTATATAACATGATTATAGGCAAGACTAAGTTCAGGGTTCTCTGAAAAGCTAATTTATATGACTATATACAAACACCAGATAAATGCCAATTAGTGAAGTACGCCCCTACGCTTACTTCAACATGTCAGCAGAAGCTGTAAAGAAATGTGCAGCTAATCAAAAGGAATGTGAGAGAAATAAAATCAATTTATTTCTGACGTAAAAAAAATATATCTTATTTCCATCTCCTGTGTTCTCCACAGAGTTTACCTTAGAGCACTACTTGAGCAGAGTTTCCAACCAGCACGTCAAAATAGACACCACTGGTCAACCAAAACCCATGTGGGATACAGCTCAGTAAAGCTGGCATTGCTTCAACTCTTAGCACTCACCTGCCCTACGCATGGTTCAGAATTTTTCCTCCAGCTCCAACTGTCAATGCATGACCTTTCCAACTTAGAACTCACATTTGGGGCTACCTAAAGCGTGAGAAATCTCCTACACCCAAACAGAGCCACTCTGTTCACTTTCTCTACTAAATATAAATATGCCTTCAGAGGTAACCCTATCAACCTTTTCTAAAGCATGCCTGCCCTCCTTTCATTCATGTTATTTTTCATTAATAGCCATAAGAATACTCCCCTTCACCACCTCCGTATCTCATTCCTGGAGTGTGTTGTAACAAATTTTAAAATTTAAAAGAATTTGGTAGAAAATATGGCAAACCAAAAAAAAGGCAATGAACTTCTCACAGTTCGAAATCATTTCTACAGTGACCTGAACTGTGAGGGAAACGAAAGATGTATACATGTGATCCAGCTGGCAGCAAGAGCTGAACAGAACTATAGCACAAAGTTAAATACAGACCTGGTTTGTGGATTGGTGAATCTTGTCTGAAAAAACATTTTCCTTTAGGACAGCAGCAATAAGGTGACCCACAGCCTAAAAAACAAACAAACTTAATGAATATATTCCCTCAGAAGTTAGTTCTCTCCAAATAGTGCATTTGAAGGTAACTAATATGAATACTAGTTGACAGAAGTATGAGTATGCCAGACAGTTTAATTGGTAATAAAGAAAATTCCCATTCAAAAAAAAAATCCAATTCACTGAATATGTACCATGTAGAAGGCACTGAATTATCCTAATTATGAATCATCATAATCCTCAAAGTAAGCATTTTATCCCAACTTTTAATCTCAATAAGCAAACTACAGCTCATAGATGTTAAGAAAATTGTCGGATTTTCAGTTCAAATTGCTGTCACTTAGCATTAGAAGATAACTTAAGATTGCTTAATCCATCAAACCATGAGACAAATGAGAAACTCCACAGCTTTTAAAATCATCTTTGCATCTAAATGAAATCAATCATGCTTCATCATGCCCTTAATGAAGATGGAGAAAACTCATCCCCATCTTTATGACTATGGCCCACACAGATCCGAACCAACAGGTCTCCCCCCACCATGACCATTCTCTTTCTCTAGGCTCTATGATTTAATTTCTTTGTTATATTTTCATAGGTTTCAGCCTTTTAATAAGCTTTCAGTCTTACAAATCTCTAAAATTTTCCTATATCCTGCTTTGGTCAAAAAGCGCAAAACTAAATCTAAGACTCTTACAGGAGTGTTGATTACATAAATACATAAATATCATTACCTCCTGCTACCTCCACCTCATTCTCCTAGTTCTTCAGCACTTCCCAGCATTGCTGTCTTAGAGCCAAGCCGTAGGCTAGCAACAATGACACCCATTCTGTGTATGGGTTGGGAAAAACTTTGCAACTTTGACAAATGTTGGTCCTTCACTTGGGACTAATGTATAATATAGCTATGAATACCTGTCAGTCTTGCAAAGTCTCCAGAAACGCACATAAATAAAAACACAGCACCCACTTCTTCGTTTCTTTCTGTATTTCACACATTGGAAATGACTTAAGACCTCAATGCTGGATATTCTCAGTTTTGCAATACAATTCACTCATTTACATGAATATTATGATTAGTTCAATTAACTGTCTCTTACCTCCTAGTTAGAAGGATAGTAACAACAATTAAGGGCCAGTGAATAGTTTGGTTCCTGTTTACAAAATATACCATATTTCATTGAATGTAACTAGCCATCAACCACAAGATGTACCTTTATTTTATGTACTACTAAGAAAGAAAAAAAGGCTGCCAATTACTCAATGTTATATAATGCTTCTTACAATTTAGAATTTTGATTTTATATTAATGAAAGAGCTCTCTTAGACTCATTTGGAAAATGATGGCCACGTTCACAATTGTGCAGGCAATACCAATTGTATAATGACTGCTATCATCAATTACTAGATGCAGCCCAATTTCAAAGATATTAAAGTGTGAAAAAAATGTGTGTGAATCAATGAAACATGGTGCTAACACTGAGCAGTGGTTACAAAAGAACAATAAGATATATTCACAGAGAACAGGGCACAATTGCAAGAACCTAATAAAACCAATATGCAACACAACAAGGACAAAAAACTACCTTTCATATTTAGAAAAAAGACTAAAAGAAAATGGGCTTAATGATAAACATCCCCCACTGCCCACCAGGTTCAATTTCTCTAATTTCCCTTTCAATTTATCCTTCTAAAATCAGAGAATATAGTCTAAACTTATTTTAAAATACAAAATCCAAGGACAAATCAGCCTACATTGCTACCTAAATTTTCCATAACAGAATAGTTTAAACTGACATTCTAAACTAAACAACGCATATATACTTTTCACTTAATTTAACAGTAATACACACAGGCATTTCTTGACCGTCTATGCTAATGAAGGGATTCCAGGCACAGAAAAATAAAACTTGTGGACAGTATCCTTCCAGCCATCATCTTCTTCTTCATGGTAAGGACCTATGCTGCACAGGATATGACTCCAACCCAGTCAGGTAGAAGGGAATCTTGCATAAGGAGTGTTCTACTCCTCATGGAAGGGTTCCCCACTACCCAGCTAAGTCAATTCCCACAGCAGGCATCTCCGAAGTTAACTGTTGAAAGAATCCCAGACGCTGTAGGTTGTTAAGTCTTCAGACAGGCTTCTGCTGGTCCCTTAGCTTCACTCTCACAAGAAAAGACAGTAAACTATTACGGTACCTTGATTAACCAGAATGCTTCTAGTTAACTGAAGGCTAGCCAGAAAACCATCTTTGTTTTAACTCTAATAATTGAAAAGCCCTCTAACATAAATTTTCACAATCTCCTGCCTGAGTCAGTACACAGACCAAAAATTTTTTTTTTCAGGAAGATTAGCCCTGAGCTAACATCTGCTGCCAATCCTCCTTTTTTAGTGAGGAGGACTGGCCCTGAGCCAACATGTGTGCCCATCCTCCTCCATTCTATATGTGGGATGCCTGCCACAGCATGCCTTGCCAAGTGGTGCCATGTCCGCACTCAGGTTCTGAACCTGTGAACCCCGGGCTGCCGAAGTGGAACATGTGCACTTAACTGGTGCGCCACCAGGCCAGCCCCAGACCAAATGTTTTAATCCAGGATATTTTACTAACTGGCTTTCATTATTATAAAAATCTATTATTCTTAATATTTGTACATATTTAAATATTTTAAATATTAAATATTTTAAGTATTACTCTCTCATAATCTGTAGACATATAACCATTTACTTCTGTTCCCAAAAATATAGACCAAAAAAATACATATTTAGAGGCATCATAGTTAATCAAGGTTTTATTATCTCTAAGAAGAAAAGCATGATATAAATAGAAGCTGAGATTGGCCAATTTCAATATTTACTTTCCTGTGTCAAATATAAATTTTCAAATTAACTCACATAAAAGTTGTTTAATAAAATAATATATATCTCTATATTTAGAAGAATAAAATATTTAATATTAAAATATAAAGTTCAATTAATGATCCACCAAAAAGGTTCACTTGTTACCATGAGGCAAAAATAAATAAATAAAATTACCTGTGATTGGATAAGAGAATTTGGAAATTCAAACCTTTTCCTGATATCATCTGACATTTTTGCTTCTCTTACATGTATGTACGCAGATTCTGTAACCAAAACAAAAGAATATTTGTTAGTCCGGAAAAGGAGTTCAAACCAATTATTCCTCAAATAACATGAATGTTATTCGTTCCAAAGACAACAATGGAAATAAAGCACAGGGCTCGGCAGAGTAATCCTTGGCATATCCTTCCCTGTTAACCGCTTCAGGCCTTAAACGCCATGATTGATAAATAAACTAAAAATACCCAACAGCTCTTGGTTTTTCCCATTAGAGCTAACCATGAAACAGATGAATTCACACTACAGAAACAAACAAAAGAAAAATCCAAAAGTTCAAGCCTAAACAAAATGACTTTATAAATTCAACCACACGTTTGAAATACAAATTAATTCTTTTATGGATCAAAACTTCTAAGGCAGAAAGACGCAAACTTTACAAAATTGCTTAAACTATGGCTCAATTTGGTACAAGCTTTCATTTTAGCACTAATCCAATTGCTAGTGACAAGTGTAAAGCCTAGGTGAGCCTTTTCAGGAAGTACAGAAATGACCTAGAAACTCACACATCAACACAGACTGCTGGTCTCCTAAAAGAGGAACAAGCAGGCAATTAGCACCAATTTTTAATATTTACATCACACCTCTCATTCCTACTGGGCTCTCAAGAGAAAAAAAAAGAAGCATGCAAAAAGGATGGAGGAGGGCAGGTGGTAAATTGAAGGCACAGAACTAATAAGCGGATTTCCTAACGATCCCAATTTATCCAATTCCCACGCAGCAATGAACCCATCAAATTACACTACTTTCAAAAAGAAGATGATTTAGGTCACCTATTTATTACAATATAACTTAAGAAAAAATGTATGTCAATACAGTACTCTAGGTTACCCCATAAAAATAACAGGCAGCAAAACCAAGCTCTCCTGAGCTCAAAAATGGAGGCACCCTGTGCTGAATCTGTAGCTCTTTCTAACAACTTTCCTCCCTTTCTTCCAAAGCTAAACTCCCTGAATGGACAATTTAGCCTAGCTTTCTTCTTCAACAGCTATGTCCGACTTTACTCCCTTGAATTTGACATGTCACAGCACTGAAACATCTACGACTGCAAACCATGCTCCCTATCTAATCTACTCACTCGCTTAAGAGGTCAAAATTTCTTCAACTTCCCAGTTGTGTCAATTTCACCATTCTTGGAATTTTCTTCTCTGTTGAATTCCACAGACATCACAGCAGAATTTCCCAAAGTGTGTCCCTGGGAAACCCAGGATAAAGAGATCTCCACGGGAGGAGAAAAAGGACTTTATGAGGACATACATTGCCATCTTAAAGATTCAGTCCCTCCTTTTACAAACACTTATTAGGTGTCTATGCTGTGTCAGGCGCTGCTCCAGGTGCCTGAGTTACATCAGTGAACAAAACAGACAAAAATATCTACACTCATGAAGCTCCCAGTCTAGTAGGAAGAGGCTGACAGTAAATAAAAAACCAAATATTACTTTAAATACAATATGTTAGAAGGTGATAAGTGCTGTGGGGAAAAAAAAGTAACACAGATAGAGTAAAGGGGATGAGAAATAGAGCAAGGACACATTTTCTATTTTAAACATGGTGGTCAAAGTATCTTTCCGAGAAGGTGGCATTTGAGAGTTAGTTAGCCATACAGATATCTGGGGGAAAGTGCCACTGACACAGGAAACAGTAAGTGCAAAAGCCCTAAGCTAATAAAGCGCCTAAGTTCTGTTTCAGAAAGAGAAAGAGATGAATCAGGAGCAGAGTAAAGGAGGAAAAGAACGATAAATTAGAGAGTCAACTAGAAGCCAGATCATAAAAGGCCTTGCAGGCCACTGGAAGGACTGATAAATTTATCCTTAGTGAAATGGGAAACTACTATAGAAAAAAGTGGTAAGAGTTGAACAGAATCACTTGAGGTGAGAAGGGACCAGACAGAGCATATATTTGAAAGTAGAGCCAGTGTGGCTGCTAATGAATTGGATGAGAAAGAGGAAAAAGAAAGGGATCAAGGATGACTCCAAGGTTTTTGATCTGAGCAACTTTATTTTTAATCTCAATTCCTTTGGGCATTTTACACATTAAAGAAAATAATTGATATATTACTTACATGGCATTTTTTACTAAAAGGAAAAGACAGAGTTGCCATCAACTGAAATCGGGAAATAAGTTTTGTGGGGGAAGACAAGGAATTCCGTTTTGGACAGGTAAGTTTTAGATGCCTAACAGATAACCAAGTGGAAATGTCGGGTAGAAAGTTGGATACATGAATCCACACTTGGAGAAACAGATCTTAGTTGGAGATAGAAATAATGGCCCATATTACTAAAGAATCTGAGAGGTTCTAAAGCAAGTTTAACTTTGCTTAAACTAGAGTTTACCAGACTTACTTGGCCATGGCACCCTTTGTTCAAGGGATATCTGTTAACAGTCTATACAAGAAGCCTTTCCTAGGATACACACCGGGGAACACTGCTCTCCCAAGTCCTCCTATTCCTTTGTCCACTTTGCTCTTTACACTCCCTCTTCCTTCCAGAAGGAAGGCAACCCAAGCCTCTCTGCCCTGTGCTCTCTTCCTTTCATGTAAACTCCCCCAGAGCCTTCGTCTAGTCCATACCTCCAAACACTTCCCTACTCTCCAAGGCTCTAAAACACCAGAAATTGGAGATGTCAAAAACAAAACACATATTTTCTCTCATAAAAACTGTTCACATTTCAGTTGATCTTTTCCAAATTCTCCTCTCACAACCATTCTCTAAATCTAGTCAGTCACAATGTCAGCTGCATTCTTTCCAGCATCTCAGAGTCTACCATTCCTCTCCATATCTATATTCATCTTAGTTCCTCATGCCAGGCTTACTCCAGTAACCGCTGAGTCTTAGGGTTCTCCAAGCTTGAGTTCATCCCACAAACTGCTGTCAGATTAACTGTCCTAAAATGTTACTTCCATCACATCATTTCCCTGTGAAGAATTCATAGTGGGCTTTCAGTACCCTGTCAGATTAAACGCAAATTCAGATTCCTAGCTTTTAAGCCCGCCAACAACAGTCTCACCCATTCAACTTCATTTTCACTGCTATCTAATTCCAATCTTGCTAAAACGGTTTTTGAAATAGTCCCACATACTCAAAATCTCCTCATTCCTAAGGGATTTTACTTATGCTGTTCTCTCCCACATAAAACGCCCTTCTCTACGTGTTCCTGCCATTTAAAGATGAAATTCCTTTCACAGCACATCCTCTCTTTCCTAAGTAGCCACATCGTATAGTAATCACCTTGCTTCACATTCCTTTAGTACTATTGCATTTGGTCTGACCCAGACCATCATGTGACTATTTACAATGGATTGGAAACATTTTTCTGTAGAGTCAGACAGAAACTACTCAAGTCTGCCATTGTGGCATGAAAGCAGCCACAGACAATATATAAAAAAATGACCATGGCTGTGCTCCAATAAAATTTTATTTACAAAAACAGGAGGCAGGTGTGCCACAGTTTGCTGACTCCTGGTTTACATGATGACTATTTTTTAAATTAATTTATACAATTTATTGACACACAATTGACATCCAAATTTTCCCTGTGCTTTCAGACACAAGTAACTACATTAAAAAGGTAAATTAGACATTGCTCAATATCTATAAGATGGAAAAGTATCCTTTATCAAAGAAAATAAATTTTTTTGTGTCCCTAAACTCTGAAGGAAATTTCTCACATTAGGCTTTATAGATGGAATACAGAGTGCTATTATAAGCCATATTCTCAATAACATAAAGCAAAAGGAAATTTTATATTACTTCTTTTTTAAACAAACCCTGGATAAAGCCATGGGCATAACATAACATGTAGTTCAGCAAGAGTCTCAGCTAATGGGGTCCAAGTACAGAGTTTTCTGAGGGTCTAATCTAACTCAATAGAAAGTAGACTTTAGAGTATGCAGAGAAGCAGATGGTTATCGATGCATCACAGAACAGACTTATCCAAATGTCAGCGGTGATAGAGCTAAATAGAAGAAAATGTGGAGCTCTACTCTGATCCAGGCCCACAATGCTGGAATTCCAAAATACTTTGGGGACCAGATGAGTATCTGCTTAGGCAAATAGCTTATTATGGCAGCAAAGGAGCTGAACCATTCAGAGAGATGACTGTCTCCAGGAGGTGGGCCAATGGAGCACAAGAGCACTGTTTTCATCAAAATTACCTAAGCACAATGACAAATATCTAAGCTTACAAAAGATAGCCCTTATTTCAGTGTGACACTTTACAGAATGAATACGTTTTTTTAAATCTACAGTGATTTTATCTTTCCTAACAAATGGCCATTAACCATTCTCAAAACCACTACCCAAGCTACAATAAGATTTGATATCATCTTTGATTTGCTATCCGTGGACTACAAATTGCAAGTATCTTCCATCTGCTGGAGACTTATTTTTCAAGGTTAATCACAACCATTTGGCCTTTCAAGGTATCAAAACATCCTATTCTTTTCGGGAATTTCAAAGAAGAGTACACGTGTTTGCTTTAGCATTGGCAGTGTAGCATGTGTCCTACTTTATTTTTAATTTCAACTTCCCTTGAGCATTTTATACATTAAAGAAAACAGTTTATATATTATTTCTTAGCATGCCATTCTTTGTTAAAAGGAAACCAGTCACAATATGCTCCATAAACCACATGTGACAAAAGAGTGATTTTAAAAGATTTATCGCCAACCTGTCAGGGTGCCTGTTTTGTCTGTCTAAATCTAAATCAGAGAGAGAATTTTTAATGAGGTCTTTAAGTTCCAAGTGAATCAAAGCATTTGTTTAACTTAAGCAATTATCATCTTATCTGCCAAGGTGTTTCAGTCCCATAAGAATACTTCCAAGAAAACAAATCTATCAGCTGTCCTCTAGAGGTAATAAAGGAGCAGTAGACAGATAAAGCACCTTAGGTTTTCGACTTTCTCAACAGCTTCTCTAGGATACGAAAATATATGACTATATACCACACAGAAGTGCTTAGTGTCAAACTTCAAATGAAGGGCACAATCTGAATAACAAGACTAAACCTATCTAATTATATTCACAAGTGGTATGGGAACCCAGGAGAGGTATTATGCAGGGAAGTGGGGGTGGCGGGGAGTGTATGAGAAAGTCTTTCAAGAGAATGACTTGACTTTGAGCACTGCTGACTACCAAATTTCTATACAGGAAACACTCAGGGCAGCAGTGTAGGTAAAGTCAGGGTGTAGACAGTACATTCTTGAAGCCAGTTTATGTGGGCAATGTCATCAGCAGACTGATAAAATATATATACTACATTCATATTAATGGGACCCTATGTTTCAGACACAAAATTTAGGACTTTTTTCCTTCTAACACTATCAACTATTCCAATTATCAGTTATGTATTTATTTAGTTTCTTCCTCAACAAATTAAGCTATGGACCATCAGCCTGAAGATTTTAAACACATATTTTGACAATTTTTTCTTTGCTATTACTTTTTTTGAACGGCTAATAGAAAAGCTGATGAGCACCATCAATAAATTTGAGCTAATCTTACAAGTTTATCAAGACTGTGGCCCAGAAGTACATTCCAGATTCTCCTAGATACTTGTCCCTGTCTCTTAGAAAGAAAAACTCTATACTTTTCAGCTACCCATACTGCTCTGCTGTCCAATATTTATATATCCCTTGTCCTTCTGCCTGCTTAGCTTCTCACCTACCACCTCTCGATCCCTAAGTATTTCTCCACATCTTCTCTATCTGCCAGGATCTCACATCTGGGTTCTGTTTCATAACCCTGTATTAAATCCTGACACCTGCTAGAAACTTAAGCTTAGCCTCAGCTCTTGCTTCAAAAGCTTCACAATCAGCTGCCACCTGTATTCTCAAATTAACAGGACAAGACCATTAGAGCCCTCCTAACTATGATTCATAAAAATGGAAAGATCATGGGGAAATAACAATGGAAAGATTTTAACACTAAAGACCAAGTGTAAGAAAACAGTAATTTTTAATCATTACATTCTCAAAGAGAACACTAAGTCATTGTTAAATTAAGCTTAGAGTAGAAAATACTTTTACGTCAGCCAGTAATTTCAAAATCAAGCCAAGGTAGGGGGCAACTAAGTGGGACGACAGAGCCGCATGGTCACTATTATAATCAGAGAAAGCAGAAACTGCATAGGTGTGGCAGAGACTGCTAACTATCCTTCGGTATCTGTGCTCCCCTTCTTCTATATTAATAAAACTGTAGCCTGACCATCTTCATTACATTTCCTGGCCTCAGGTATGCTTAGGGATGACTAAGTATGTCATCAAGTTCTATCTAAGGGCGTTTAAGCAGACTGGACGTGCCACTTCCACGCTAGAGCCTGCTTCCTCCACTCTCTCCCAACTGAAACCAGGTCTTGACAATAATTCAGATCCAATCGTGCATGAAGATGATGCCTCTAGACATTGTTGAAAAAACAGGATGGAAGGAACCTGGATCCCCAAATGACAGCTTGGAGCAAAACTGCATACCTGGATCTCCAACTATCACATGAGGAAGAAACTTCTTTGTTTGAACCACTGCATTTTGGGATCTCTTTGTTGCAATAGCTAGTACTTCCTTGATAAAACAGTGAACCTGAGATCATCTCCCTTCCACAATTTTTTTCACTGGAGAAATGAAGAAACTGAATGTCAGAGAGGTTAAGCAACTTGCCAAAAAAGTAAATTGCCCTGGCAGTTGGAGTGAGAAGAGAGGTTTCTTGACTTCCAACCCAATGTTTCCCTAGACCATCAGTAACATGAAGCATGACCAGCATGTTCCACATTACTGCATCACGTCCCAGGCATTTCAAGATCTATAATTCAAGTGCTGAGCAAATTTAGGTGACTATGAGTTCTGATGATCTCACCGGTTGCAATTTGCTAAAACATATCAAATTGCAATCAAATTCCTGCCTTTACAATTTAGTTCCTTCCCAGTTATATCACATGCTATTTACTCATAGATTTTGAAATGGGAGTCTAAAATAAGATCAAAGGCAGGAAATTCCAAGTTAGAACTGATTGCTGTCCAGGAGAACCAGGCACTAAAGGTAGAAACAAAACCACCAACTTCAATAATGTCTGATTTGTAACAATATTTTCTCCAATTATTCTTGAATAATCTTTTTTTTTAAGTGTCATTATATTTGTATGTATGTATATGCTAAATACACCAAGGACTACAGACGAAAAACAGTTATTTTTAAAAATATAAGGACATTTATCTCTAGAATTTTTACAGTATCCAATCTAATTCTTCAAAGAAGTCTTCAAATTAGCTCCTTTATAACGAGGTGCACGTGAGATTCTGATGGCGGAAATGTGGTGGAGGCTGCCTTGTTCCCTGGCTTCTTTTATGTTAGCATAGGGACTTTTTCTTTTTCCTGCAATAGCATGTCATTGTCCATAAAATTGATAGGCAGGAAAAACGAACCATTAAAACAAGGAAAAAATCAACAGAGGTCAATAAAAGTCATATTGGATTGCTAAAAACATTAGCTCCTTTATGAGATCATTTTTTTCCACTTGTACAATTTGTAAATATTTTTGCTCCACCAAAAGAACACTCAAATTACTTAGTACATTTTTAAAATAAATATTTTATGTTGATACAAAATAATCTTTACAGTGTATTCATAAAAAAACTGATGCCCAATCATTTTAAAGATTTTACTGATGAATAAATGTCTAATCTGAATGGCTAAAATCTCCATATTCATAATCTCATATCAAATACCATTCAGTTAACTAAAAATTAGTGAAACTACAGAATGTATTTTGGAGGTATTTTACTTGTATATCCTCCCCTCAAAAATGACTCAAATTTTGTGCACTGGTTCTGTAAAATAATCTACTTCTTAACAAATATTAACATGGTACAAACCAAAGTATTTATGGGGTAAGTATGTGACATTTGGGATTCTATAAAATACTCCAGTCTACCTCCAAGGGAATAAAAAAAGAGGGCATGATAGATAAAACAAGAATGTTTAAATGTTGATAACAGGGGGCCAGCCCCGTGGCCGAGTGGTTAAATTCACACGCTCCACTTCGGCAGCCCAAGGTTTCGCCAGTTCGGATCCTGGGCTCTGACATGGCACCACTCATCAGGCCACATTGAGGCAGCATCCCACATGCCACAACTAGAAGGACCCACAACTAGACTACACAACTATGTACTGGGGGGATTGGGGAGAAAAAGCAAAAAAGAAAGAAAAAGATTGGCAACAGTTGTTAGCTAAGGTGCCAATCTTTAAAAGAAAAAAAAATGTTGATAACAGACTGGTATACTGGAGTTTATAATACTATTCTACTTTTACATATGTTTGAAAATTTCCATAGTAAAAAGCTTTTAGCTCTTCCACCATATGAGGACACAGAG